TATCTCGCGAGAAGAAGGGATGAAAGAGGAAGGGCCGGAGGATCAGAGAGCGGGATAAGGGGGCTATGCGAGACGGTGAGGGAGCTGAGAGACGGAGGAAGGGAGGCACCGGTGGGAGAGAAGGAGGGGATCACTCCGACAAGAGAGGGGAGAGGTAGGATGGACGAGGGGAGTTGGAGGGCGATCAGGAGAAGGCAAGGGGAGGGCGCAAGGAAACATCATCCGCGGAAACCTCAATTCTATAAGCCGGTATACGGCAAACACTTTACATTTATTACATCAGATCGTAACCCGGAGAGAGCACAAGATTTTTTATTATATTAACTATATATAGACAAAAGGATAGAAGAATGAGAAGACCAGATTAGAGACGAAGAGAGAGAAGCAAAGGAATAGAGATAGAGCATAAAAGACGACAGAAAGACAGAGACCTGAGAGAGACCCATGAGAAAGAAAGAGACATTAGAGAAGGAAAAAAAAGTGAACAGCGATTATTTTCGCCCTCTCATAGCGGCGTCCCTCGTAAACTTACCCTTACAAACGAATTCGCCGCCCAACCGCTCCGGAATGTACGGACACACGCATATCTGTAATATTAATGGAGTAGCAATAATTCACCGGAAAGGTCTCCCCCACGCACACACCCGCGACGCGCGCCGGTGACAGAGACGGAGAATGCGCCTCACTTCATCGCGAGCGCGATGGGATGAACACTCGTAAGAATGAATCCGGGACGACCATGAGAAAGACTCCCCTTGCTGCCGCGTCGTTCTGTTACCCGGAGAGATTCGCAAGGCCCCCCTCTAAGCGGCCACGCGGAGCTAGCCAAACGCGCGAGCCGACGATATGACCCTCATCAGGTCGCGCACGACCAATAGAAAATCGTCTTGTGACCCGACTTCCTTTTCCGACAAGATGGACCTTCGCACGTGCGCACAGTGCGACCTCTGCCTTCAAACCGCTAGCGAACCTGGGTCGCGACCTCTGCTCATTTTGTCTGCTGCCGACCCCGCGGTCACGACCTTCCTGTCATCGCCGGCCGCAGATCATCGCACACGCGTAGTGCGCCGCCGGTTCCGAAGCGATCTACGCACCCGAGTGGCGCCCGCCGCTCGCCGCGAGCCCGACACCCGTAGAGGGTGGCGCCGGCGTCGACGCTTTGCCGCCGCGCTTCACTTGCTTGCCTGCTGTGCTTGCGCGGCCAGGTGCGCTTGCTGCTCCTTCCAGTGCTTCCTGTTGGCACTCTATGCCTGCCCAGGTAGCGGACGCTATATCACTAAGCCAGCAGTCGTTAATCGCCTCCGCTCGCAACTTGATATACACTGAAAACACACAAGGCCATTACTTGATATATACTATACAATACATTATACTACATACATACATATCAGAAGCTAATAATGACAATTTGTCATTATTAGCTTCTGATACATAAACATATCTATATATATTTATTTAGTATATCACAGTGTTTCCCCCTGCATTGACAACAGAGGGAGCTGCGAGGCCGCCGCCTCAATTCTCAGCCGCCACACACTAAAAATTTGCACCAAAAACACGCACCTCGCTGACATAAAAACAGTGCTTAAATATTAAATGCACCAATAACCTTTAGAATGCACCAGATTCGCACAATTTTTCCACAATTCAAAAAATACTTCGACGTGCCGGTGCTCGCTTTGTTAGGATCCTCGAATCGCGCAAACACACGCAATAATTGTAACACTACACAGACCTCTTTTGCTCGCCAAGGGGTAACACGGTATATATATATATATAATATATATATATATATACATTTATATGATATAATATAACATCACTACACCCCTACACACACACCTCCTCCCTCTCTCATTCACACTCCCCCACACCTCCTCCCTCTCGCCCCTCACATCACCCCCACACTTCCTCCCTCTCCCAGCACCTCTCCTCCTCTCTCTCACACTCCCCCACACCTCCTCCCTCTCCCCCTCACTCACCCACACCTCCTCCCTCTCCCCCTCACTCACCCACACCTCCTCCCTCTCTCCCTCACACCCACACCACCTACCTCTCCCCCTCACTCACCCACACCTCCTCCCCCTCCTCACTCACCCACTGGCGTTTCTTGGTGTCGGTAACGACTTCGCGGTGTTTCTGGTCGAGCGCCTCTATATCTGCCTCGTGCGCCTGCTGCCTGCGTATCAGCTCCTGTCTAGCCTGCTCCAGCTGTGCCTCCAGCTGTAGACATGCCTTCTGCCTCTCCTGCAACATCTAGTGGGGAGGAGGAAACGTGTTAGTATATAAAGAGGAGGAGGAGGAGATGGAGGAGGGAACGTGTTAGTATATAAAGAGGAGGAGGAGGAGATGGAGGAGGGGGTACAGCTGCGCCTCCAGCTGCAGACAAGCCTTCTGTCTCTCCTGCAACATCTAACAGGGAGGAGGGAACGTGTTAGTATATAAAGAGGAGGAGATGGAGGAGGATACAGCTGTGCCTCTAGCTGCAGGCAAGCCTTCTGTCTCTCCTGCAACATCTAACAGGGAGGAGGGAACGTGTTAGTATATAAAGAGGAGGAGGAGGAGATGGAGGAGGAACTGTGTTAGTATATAAAGAGGAGGAGGAGATGGAGGAGGATACAGCTGTGCCTCCAGCTGCAGACAAGCCTTCTGTCTCTCCTGCAACATCGAGTGGGGAGCAGGGACTGTGTTTGTGTATAAAGAGGAGGAGGAGGAGGAGGAGGAGATGGAGGAGGAACTGTGTTAGTATATAAAGAGGAGGAAGAGGAGGAGATGGAGGAGGATACAGCTGTGCCTCTAGCTGCAGGCAAGCCTTCTGTCTCTCCTGCAACATCTAACAGGGAGGAGGGAACGTGTTAGTATATAAAGAGGAGGAGGATGAGATGGAGGAGAGACGGTGTTAGTATATAAAGAGGAAGAGGAGGAGGAGATGGAGGAGAGACGGTGTTAGTGTATAAAGAGGAGGAGGAGCATATGAGGTGTACAGATAAACAGGTAACCCTTCTGTCTCTCCTGCAACATCTTGTGGGGATAGGGACGGTGTTACTACATAACTCTTACATTACCACCCAATAGAGGGAGCTCACCTTCTCTGCCTGGTCCGCTAGCGCCCTCTCTGTCGCTGCTGCAAAGTCTGCCTGCAGTCTCTCCTGCAGCTGGCGCCCTCTGGCATCGCAGCAGCTGTTTCCTGTTGTCTCGCACTGTAGAAATTAGAATGAGGACGGATCTAACGCACGCGTGCATACATCGCTAATATTATATTCCGCGCTATGAATATAATGTTAAATAATTATCGTTATGTTAATAGTATGACGAGTATTATATTATGCTGTGCCAGATAAATGTATTCTACGTGTGCAGCAGTGACAGATCGAATACTCGGTGATTGAAATGATGAATTATTTATTGCCGCATCGATTTAAATAGATAATTATGAATATATTATGCAATTAGAGATATCACGATCATTATTACCATACACTTGGTGTAAACATTTTTTATTATTTATTACTAATATTCATTTAGGCAGATAATTATTATAATTAATTAATATATGATACGTTTATGGCTACTAAATTGTTACAATATATATTGTCAACAATCAAACTAATTAATTAATCTATTTAGAGCTGCATTTATTATTGGCTGTTGCTTAGACTTAGTAAAATAAATATCTTCCATCACGGTACCAATATTGCAGATATAATACAGTTTTTATATAAATTAATCTAGAGTGCATCACAGCTTCACCATATGTGAATATTTGATATGGTGAATATTTTATTTACCTCTTTAAAAAAAGAAAAGATTTTGCGTCGGCCGGGAGTCGAACCCGGGTCAACTGCTTGGAAGGCAGCTATGCTAACCGTTATACCACCGACGCACGACTGACTCATCAATGCGTCACGCAATACACATGCTGACGCTCCAACCAATCTCACTACACACTAACGACGTGCTGCCATCTATCGGCACAAATACACGTTTAAATGGAATATTAACGTTTCACCATGTGCATACTAGTGTAAGTTTACACCGCCACCAACCATTAGCAGTTTTCAAGCCGTTACTGTAATTTTACAGTTACTACTTAAAAAACGGTAAACATCTGATATAAACACGTAACGCGAGGTTAAAAAGTTACTGCCACGGCCAGCCCTAGCCCTGTTCACCTTACTCAGAGATGTCAAGTTTGAGAAATGGTTGAGTGGAGCAACACCGGCCGAGGGAGTAAAGCGACCAGCTGCACTTTAAAGGGACAGTAGCCTCTAAGATTTTACTGCATACAACTGTACTTACTGTATAACAAATCGTCTATACCCACACGTATTTGTTACCAGATAGCTAATTTAATTGTTATAATTAATTACACATCAACGCTACGAAATTTGAACGGCGCCATGACACCCGCGACCGTGCTGCCACCCCGAAAAAAGTTGCGTATTTAACAATTTATTTTGCACGTTACAAAACGAGGGCTAATCACAAAAGGGCAATTATACTTATACCTAAATGCTATTTAACCGAACGATATTCATTTTAGGGCAAATTTATCCATATTATAATTGAAACTATATGTCGTTTATAAGATATTACAATCCTTTTGCTTTTAAATGAATAAATAAGAAACACCCTTGGTCTGTAGCCCTTGGGCAAGTGGTTTTGCGCAACTGTATTCAGCTCGTGCCGCTTTTGAGTGGCGCCACCGTCGTGTAATCAAACTGTAGTCGGTTAGTCTTCAAAACTATCTAAAAAAAATATATTCTGATATGTGAATTGAAAGCCTGAAACATTTTAATGTAGCGTAATTATAACCTAAATTAGCTAAAAATAACCCTAGAACCTAGAGTAAACTCTCCCTTTAATCTTACCTGCTCCATCTTGCGATATTTTTTAAAACCCATGTTAATCTTTAATGTTTTTTCTTTTTTTCACCTGTTTTACTTAAATAGACTACGCGACAAATTTTCTATGGTGATATTTGTAAAAATGTTTGTTGCCATTTTTTACATTAAAAGTAAGTACTAACGGGACTAAACGTATCGTCAAATTCTTACCTGATAAGATTGTTTCTCAACTAGTTGAAAATCTAAAAAACCTGGACGATTTTGATATTATGATCCTGACATTAATTGCTTGCTATGGGTTATGTATGAGTCACGAGTGTATGCTTACATCGAACAATATAGTAAAATAGGAAGTATATTAATGCAGCAATTTAACCATAAAAAGTGGACAGAATTACTTGGATTTTGTGAAAAAGTGGAAATATTTTTGTTCGTTTGTACTATTTACGGCTACGCAAACACTGTAAATTTTTCGTACTTCTGCCTCTTACCTTCTTCAGCGTCTGCGTCGCGAGCGAACTGATGACGGCGGACGGGTCAGAGGTCACGCCGGCCTCTACGCTCGACGACACCATGTCCGACGACTCTTCCTGCGACGGCGTCTGTAACACAAGAACGTGCGCGCGTCTGTAACACAGGCGACGATGAAAACATAAGAGCATGCGCGCGTCTGTAACACAGGCGACGATGAAAACA